CAAATTTATATTTAAATAAATCTGTATAAAGCAAATGCAGAGGTTCTGGGATCCTTATTAGTCACTTCACAATAAGACGTGTACTGTACACTGGGCCAGCCAGTAGTCTTACCATGCAGCAAGAGACCTTCAAAGCCAATGAACTCTACAGACTGAAGTTTTAAAATCTTACTCCAGCTAAACACATTAAATCATGTTGCACTACAAAAGACACCAGCAATTTGTTTTTAAACATATTTTAATTAAGACTATTAGTAGGCTATTGTTGAACAGAGGTACAAGTATTGGTATTGCAACAGATTGTAATACTATGGTGCAGCTGTGAGAGCACTTTGGTAAACAACATGTACCCAAGTGCTGATGTAGGCTATATTTCAACAAATTCATACTCATCTGATCAATGTAATGGCACATTACTTATATGTGTCATGATGAGAATTCATACAGAGATAGACAAGTGTGACAACTGCAGGGAGATCACCTGTGAAAAACTGAAACTGCTCTGCATTGCTCTTGCTCCTCTGAACTCTATCTCTTGTTTCGCATCAGCTACTGGAAGTCCCTTTACCAGCTGCTTTTGTAAAGGAAGTGACATCATTCCTAGCATCTGGCAAGATGGTGGTCTCTTCTTCTTCTCTTTTAGGTTTGTGAATGGAGACATCTAAGTGGTAAAACATCAAGTTGAAATGATTTCTATTTTTTCAAATCAACTGTATTCTTTCATTATGACCTGATGATCTCTCCTGGATTGTTCTTCTTTGCTGACTGACTCAAACATGTTTTATTTTTACAGTTCTGATAAACTTACTGCTAGTAAAGAAATATACTGTATTGTGAACTATCAAAATAAATAAAATTGTTATTTACAGAAACATATAAACAATACTTCATCACTAAACAGTTTTTAATAAGAATAGGCTACTGTTATGTCTGTCATGCTTTCATCTGAATAAATGAAGCCATGAATGAGGTTGTACAGAGCTGAAATAAAACCTCTTTTATAATGCTTTCCAAGAGTGCTGCTGGTTCTCTGGCATCCAAACTGACTTTCTTTCAGTCCTGTTTGATGGCACCTAAACTGCAGTACTTTGTGCAAACAGATGTCCCTCATAAAATGTTAAATGTATACAACTAAAATATACCTCCAGACCCATAAAGTGGTACACCTGGGCTGTAACATTTACACCTTTCTTTACTGCTGGAATATATGAATGAAATATACCTTTAGTGTTGAAAAAAATGTAAACAAGGCTTCATATAAGTGAGTGTCACAAAATGTCAAGGTTAATATGATATCAGTAGAGAATGTTTGTGAAAATTGTGTGCACTGAGGAAAAGTAGATCAAAAGTTGCTACACAAGCACCTGAATGCTGCTGAGTTTTGTGAATCAAGATGTTATCAGTGAAGCAGCTAACAAAATTACAAGGAGCAATCAAATGCACCCTTATTGGCTTAATAGCAGTCTGTGTAAAATGTAAACTGTAATACTGCAATCCAACATTACAGGAAGGCAACGCCAGTACTGTGTGGAGCACAGAATTATAGCATCTTTGTCTTTTTCAGTGAACACTGCTTTTTTTTAAACGCATTTTGTAAGAAAAACTCCTTTTATCTACAAACTTTACCTCTCAGTTTCCAACATTCCAAACCCACAGTAGCCTAATGTAAAATTTCTGAGCTCTACTTCTACACACTTTTCTGCTACTTTCATTCCACCAAGCTCTTAGGATAAGTCAGCAAAACCATATTGTTTATGAAAAAAGGCAAATACATATCAAAAAGTAAGGAGTAAAGAATGGATAAATAAGGCTCAATAAAACATGAACACTGGTCCATATTCTCATATTGCCTTGTAGAGCTGCTCCATCATAAAGAAGTTTGCATGTTGAGCTCGGATCATCACTGAAGGGTCAACAATACTGTCACCCTTTCTCGCTCCTTGAGCTTTACATGTGCTCAGATGAAAGAATGTTAAAAAAGAAATAAACAGGTCTTTCACCTCATTCCACCTTTTCCCTTTTTATTGTGATCTCAGTTTCTTGTTGCCTCTTTAGTCTTTCTCCCAAGCAATCTGTCATCTTTTCTCTCTATCCACTCTATAATCAATCTCTCCTCCAGGATTGGAAAGATGGATTCAGGGAAACTAAAAGTACTCTCAGATCTTTCTGCAGTTTTTCCCTGTGAAGAAGCTGATGTCTCCTCTTCCTCCTCCTCCATATAGAGGGAGGAGCTGGATGAGGATGTTGCCTCCTTGATTCCTCCGCTGCACACCTTAGCCTCCTCGTCCTTCCCCTCCTCACCTCCACCCCTTCCCTAGAAGGGCAAGCTGGGGGAGCAGATGGTGGTGGCTGAGCTGATGGAGATGTCATCAGAATTAAATGGAAGCCTGGGGTCCGGGGAAGGTTCAAAGCAAATGCCAGGGTTCAGAGAGGGAGGGGCCATGGGCAGGCCTGGGAGGCAACTGGGAGGCTGTGCATGTAGTGTTTTTGTTGTTGATGTTGTTATTGTCGTCACCATCAGCATCATCTGCGCAGGCGGTGGCTTCACATCCGGGTGGCATCTTCGTCTGAGAACCTGCCCCTCCTTATCAAGAGGGGTGGCCTGAATGAGGGAGGAACAGGAGAATGCTGTGATTAGATGCTGTGATGCAGGGATCCAGTACCACATGGGAATATCCAGTACGGAGAAACAGGAGAGTCATGCATGTGTTCATTGAGTTATTATCTAAAATTTAATTGGACAGTCACAAGAGGAAATAACAAAAATGATCACTTCACATGCTGTATTTCCCGCCTGTGGTCCTACTTGGAGCCTAACTCAAGCCAGTTTTGGGAAATGTAAGAAAATCCAATTCACGCTATGCTATAATTGGCAGAAGGTGTCAATTATAGCTAAGGTCAAAATGTGCATTTTACCTACACTAAACATTCTGCTGATATGAATATGAACAGGCCACTGTAATTTTTCCATTCCATAAAAACTTTACATGTACTTGTGAATGAGTTAGAAATTTATTTAGCCATCTATTTTAATTACTTCATCTTGTAATTTAGGATCTCTCTTTAATGCTAGACTAATAGCATTAGTAATAGCACTAATAATTAAATGGCATGCACTTGTTGCTAACTTCCAGTTAATTCTTCTAAGTGAGTTATTGATTCCTCTTGTCAGTGTCCAATTACTGTAAATATCAAGTGCTGAACTGATTTACAACTATAAGCCTTTATAACCATGAACCTCTAGATCCTCCACAAATCAATGGACAAAGCCACACCACAGGAGCTGGGCAATGAGGTGAAGAGCAAATCATGGTGTTAGTAGAGGCAGCCAGGTGGGGAGCATCATGTCAAGCAAAAGTCATCAAAATTCAGTGAGACAAACAAAGGACCATTCTTTTGAAAGGCAGCATTCACAAATAAAAAGCGTAAACAAAAAGTGGCTGTTGCTTGGTAAAATCTTCAGCAACATCATTTAGGAGAAACATTCACAAGGCTATTCACAGTGACACAACATAGCTGAGACTTTAACAAAAGAAAGACCACAACAATGCAGTTACTGTATGAAATCTGTGTTTACAGCAAGCCAGGGATGAAAGGACAGAAGCCAAAAGCCAAGCACAAAGACCACGGGCAACGACAGCATAAAGCTGGAAAGGCAGCACAGCAGTGACCAGTCAGCAGGGCAGCACACAGGGAGGAATGAGACATTAACTTCAGGGACACTATGTTGGTTTGTTATGATTTCTCACAGGTTTGTGACCATCTACCGAGTTGTCTGTCTATGGAAACCTGTCGTACCTTATCCAGTACAGGGCCGGGTGCTGGTAGAAATCCAACGACCCAGATCTCTGCATAGAAAAGCTGTCATCCAACTGAGCACAAAGAGAAACCGGCAAAATAAATCAGCTACCAAAAGTCTTATCTGCATTTAGAAGCAGAACCAATGAACTGAAAAAAAATTGCAGAAAAATCAACACCTCTATAAAAACCAATTAAACTCTGTGCAACAGCTACAACTCTAGATGAACTAAACAAGTAGGACAAACTAGTTTATGGGTTTCTAGAAATAGTGACTCACAGAAATGACTGATACTCCTGCAGTGGTGTCGCTGACTTTTGGAGTGGTGTTGAAATGCTTCTTTATCTTCCCTGCTACTGACAGCTGATGGTCATTCTCACATAGACCCTCATCCTGCATCAAGAAAGGGAGGAGAGGAGAAAAAATGAGTCATCTGTGGGAATATATCACAACTGAATACATGTGACTGGCCCAATGAGCTCAATTAAGACAGTACTTACAGTGACCCAAGGGTGCTCCAGCACCTGAAGCGCAGTGTATCTCTGATCCACCTCCACCTCCAGCATGGATCGGATCAGCTCCTGCAGGAGCAAACAAACACTGGTGAGTTTTTAGTCCCTCAGTATGAAGTGGTTTTCCTCCATGTCGTTCATTTCATGATATGCACAATCAGCTGATCCATACAGACAGTGTGCACAGTGTATTTAGCTATTTACCTTGGCTGTCTCTGACACGTTGTCCCAGTATGGTAGAGGAAATTCTAGCTGTCCCATCAGTATCTGATCAAAAAGCACTTCTTGATCATCAATGCTCCTGTACAAAATCAATTAATTAAATATTACACTGCTCTGATTAACATAGATGCAGTATTATCACCAATCAATAGGGGGACTCCTGAACATTTCAAGACTGATTTTAAAAGCAGAAAAGCAGAATTTTCACTTAGTGAACAGTTGGTGCTGTTATCTTACCCCCGAAAAGGTGGGAAACCACACAGTAGGATATAGGTGATGACTCCAGCTGCCCAGATGTCCACCTTAAGGCCATACCTGCACAGAACAAAGAAATATAATGACTTCAATATAATGGTAGCGGTAGAAAGTGATAAAAGAATTGTTACTGTAAACATGCATCACTCCTTTAAAGATGAAATTCTTTAGCAAAAACACAAACGATGTTTCCTGCAGCCTCACTGACATGGAATGACTTATTAGATTAAAGGGGTGATGTTTACGGTGGTTTATCTACTTAACCTTAACTCTGCTCTTACCCTGTTTCTGCAATGATTTCAGGTGCTACATATGTTGGGGTCCCGCAGACAGTGTAGAGAGGTCCGTCCACCACAGTCGCCAAACCAAAGTCTCCCAGTTTCAGGCTTTTGCTGCCATCTGCATGTTCATATACCTAAACTCACAGAAAACACACATAATGGATGCTGTTAGAAGTAGGATCTTGAATGACCCGGACTGTGTGGCAACCATTCCTTTTTTACAGCTGCATTTCAGTGTGTGTGAATCAGAAACATCTGTCTCAAGGATGACTGATGAAGTCTTAGCTCTTCATTGTCAGTGCCCCCAGGGCGAATCTGTGTGGCCATCCGAAGGACAGCCCCATGCACTGCTGTCTAATAAACCGTCTCTTTCATCGTACCACTGGGATGCACCAAAGTATCAAATTTTTAAAATCAAGTACACTGTGCGACTTGTAGCAGCAGTTGCACTAATAAAAAAAACTGTTCAATGTACTGTACATGTTGATGTGTGTCTAGGGAACAGACAAAATTATAGCAGCACCTTGATTTGACTTTAAAATTGCTAAAATCCATGTTTTTATAGCAACAGCTGGCCAAATTAGTACAACGTATGTGAAAGGGATCCACTCTTTGTGGTGAGCATAGTGACAGCTGTCATCCAGCCCTGTTCCCCTCACCTCTACGAAGCATTTCAGTAACTTCTAGCTGACTTTCTAACTTCTTCTTATTATTGAACTAAAATAATTGTAAAACAGAATAAGTAGAGGCAAAGTAGTAGGAATGAAAAGGTCAGTAGGGATGAATGTAGCAACAGAAGCCACAAAATTATATTTGGGGTGAACTAATTCTACAGGGACAGTCGATGGTGCACAGAAGGATATGAAGAACTGCAGTTGGAGGATGAGAGGACAATGAAAAGGCATAAAGGGAGGAGGCTGGAGAAGGAGTGTGTGGGAGGTGTGAGGACAGCGGGGATGAATTTTCTCTGCTGTGCTGGAGTCAGTGGTGAGTGATATTACATCACTGTTCATTCAGAAAGAAGGGAGGAAAAGAAAGCAAAGAAGGGAGGCTACACTGCCACAGGTTATACGACCATGTATACAGTATGCAGACCCACGCCGTGTGAACTCACCAGCAGGTTTTCTGGTTTGATGTCTCTGTGCACAATGTTGAGGCTGTGGAGGTATTTGATGGCACTGGCGAGATTGTAGAGCATTCCGCTGGCATCTCTCTCTGTGTATCTGTTGGCAGAGGTGATGGCGTCGAACAGATCTCCCCCCTGTGGATGAATCATGAGAGGGTTGTCAGTATTAAGAACAATGCCATGGGAGTTTTTCTGGCATTTTCAAATAGAGAACTTGACAGTTTCATTTCTGTGTTTTCACAGTTGCTCATCTTTTCTGCTGAGAAATGTTTTGGTGTAAAAAAAAAAAAAAAAGTTGACAGAGTAGCGAGGGTTTTTGTCTGCTCAGCAGCTAGAAGAATAAACTGTGTCCTCCTTCTTCACCTCCTTGAAATCTCGTCCCCAGGCTTTAATATTTATCTTTCATTTTAATTTTGTTCCTTTAATTCACCCTTTCCTCATTTCTCTCAGGCATCTTTTCGGTCTGCCTCAGTTTCTCATATTTTTCATTCTGTCTGAATCTGACCCTCTGTGTTTCCCTACCTGAGTGGACTAAGTGGAACAGAGGATTAAAATAGGGCTGAATCTCTCTGTCTCCCTGCACAGACTCAGGCACACTGTCAGCATCCAACCTGCACAGCCACAGTTATTTAAATATGAGCTGTCAAGAGCCCCAGCTCTGCCGCTAACCAATGCATCTGCAGTTCTCTGTCAAGTGCATTAGTCAGGTCAGCCACTGATGCTGTGGGATGAAGCCTCTCTCACATCCTAAAGGTACTAGATGGGGTTGAGGTCAGGCCAGTTTTTTCACATCATGTTTAAAAAAACATTTCTTTATGGGTTTCACTTTGTCATGTTGAAACAGGAAATGACCTTCCTTTTTGCCACAAAGTTGGAAGCACATTATTGTCAGAAATATCAGTGTATGCTACAGCATGTATAGCAAGTTTCCCCTCAATTTTAACTAAAGGACTTAGCCCAAAATAGCACCAGGCAAAAGGACATGACTTGTGTAGGCCATACTTTTGTTGTATTTCATATCACTTCTCTCCTTGCTTGTTGCTCTTACCTTTTGCCTCCCCTTTCCAATGCATCCATCTGTCTCTTTCTCTCTCTCCTAGTCACTGTCATTTGGCAGTGACTCTCTCCATCTCATTCATTCACAGCCTTGGTCCTACAACTTTGGACTTGCTTTACCGTAACATACATTTCTCCCACAGATTGCCTCTCATCTATATTCCGTAGTACTCTAAACCACACCACGAACAGATGGGTCAGATGGGCTCCTGAATTATGCACAAACAGTTCTTATCTCTGAGAGAATGAAGAATGTGAACACACGAGTGCTCCGGGCCACAGACTGATTCTCTTGATCCCACACTGTGTGACTACTTGAAATTCAACATTTGTTCCACCAACTGAATGTTGCTGCTCTATATCTGTCACCAATTCTGCCTCCCTGCTCCTCTCTGTTGCTCACTGGAGATGGTGATCATAACAGAGCAGATGACACACAAACACGTTAAAACATAATAGTACAGTATATAGAAACAGGGCCACATACCTTGACCAGCTCCATGACCAGGTAGAGTTCACTGTAAGTGTCCACCTCCTCTATGAGCAGGACGATATTTGGATGTTTGACCCTGCGGAGGATAGCCACCTCATTCTGGATCATGTGCTCCTGTAGTAAGATTTGAAAATGAATTTATACCTCACAGCTAGTGAAACTAATTTATTAGGAGTACAGTAGTAACATCTGGCTGAAAAGCAGAGGTTCGCTGCCCTCTCTGGTTGAAAGTTTCATCACACCTCTCTCAGTGTAATGGTGTTGTCTTAAGCCTGCTCTGTCACATCTGTAACCATACAGTGATGTCACAGTGTACTAACACAAGCTTTGAGTACACTTTCACACCACTGCATCATGGTGGTTGGAGTTTAGACCATGGGTGGTCAGAAAAAACAAGATATTCAGCTTGCTTTTTATGTGGCACCAGGAAACATCGGCCTAAAGGGAATTTTTAATTCTATTTCTGATTGCACCAAGAAATTACAGGCACTGACAAACTCCAACCTCTAAATGTGTGCACCTGCCATCAAGATAGTTGTTGATGTGCCAGCTGCACACACTGAAATTGATGTCTCCAAATTCAGTGATTTTTAATAAAGTGACGAATTATGAGATCTTGTATGGTCTGAGAAAAGTCTCTTAAGCCATGAGCTAATAAACCTGATTTTAATTATTGAAAGCATAGATTTCACAAGTTTTGCTTTAGTTTTCTCATGCTTTTTTTTTCATTTATATTTTAAGAGGTATTCCCAGTAGTCATATCCTTGATCAGTTTATAACACAAGAAATCTTTCTCTTACATGAGTAGTATTAAATCAAGCCATAGTATTCTTGAATGGAGTCTACTTGTACAGTACTCATCTGTCTTTGGAGTCATATTTTGTAGTTTACCTTGCCTCTGCATTTGCCCTTGTTGATGATCTTCAGAGCATACGCCCGTCCTGTGGAGAGCTCCACACATTCCCGGACTACTGCAAAGTTTCCATCGCCTAACATGCGTCCCACCTTGTAGCGGTCTGATATGTAGGACGGCACAGCTGGAACCTCATCAACTAGAACCTCAGCTGCAGGGAGAAAGGACAAGGTTGAGTGCGTCTGTGGGACTCAGGAATGTGAACCAGTTGACACTTTTTTCAGGCTGAAAATAGTTCATTTCACAGGCTACAAAGAGCACATACAAAGGACAGAGAGAACCTTGTTAAAGGCTGCAGCATAGGTTGAAGCAAATATAGTTGATAATGTAGAAAACTGAACATAAAGGTGTGATTAATACAGATATCTACAAATAAACAAACTGCAAAGGGCAGCTAAACTTTTAAAAATACATATTAATTCTATATTTTTCAAACTGAGCTGCAAAGAGCTCTAGTTAGATCTGACATTTTGTCACACATAGGCTCAGTGCTGTGTAAATGTTAATCAAGCTGGCAAATGAGAAAGTAAACGTGGAACCAAGTAGTTAATCAATATGCAAATATATGCAATTAATGTTCAGTTAATGATAATTTATGAGCTGGTTTATAACATTTGAGAAGGTTGTCTGAGTCCTCTTCAAAGATGAAACTGTCAGATGACATTATGAGTTTTCTGACTCATCTTAACATGATTAATATTTTTGTAATTAAGATGAGCAGCTGCTTTCACTTATGATGAATGACTTATACTTTGTCAGCTGACAAATTTTACCAGCACATCATTGTTTGTAGCATTACAGAGGTTTATAATGCTACAGAGGGGTGAAGAAAGACATCAGAGAAGGGCAGAGGTGTGAGAAAATGAAGTGCTGAGAACAGAATGTACAAAACAGAAGAAGAGCACAGAGACCAGAGGGGTGGGTGAGAGAGAATCCATTAAAGGTCATTAACGTGATTCAGACATCAGCACTGCCCACTGAAGGACCATTTGGACGTTCTTGTAACATTCATTTTCCTCACTTTCAGTAACGACTCCATTCACATCTTCCACTGGGTTGGAAACTTTAGGGGAAGACAAAGAGGCGGAGGAACCCTGGGACCCCTGCAGAGAAGGAGAGGGGTAGACAGAGAGCAGGTCAGCATTCTCATCATCGCCCTCATGCTCATCAAAACACAATAAAACTGAATAAAACTGGCCCTTCTGTTACAATCCCAGCATAAGCCAATGTGTACATCCAAAAATAAATGCTGGGGCGTTGTGCAACTCATCCTCAGAACATCCCTAAGTCTGTCTTTGTGTTTGCACGTCTGTGTTGCATTGAGATGCCCTGCATTGTATGTACACTGTGCTCATGAAAAGAGCCAAAACACACTTACTTAAGCCAGTGAGCCGAAAGTAAACTGGTTACTTACTCAGCAAACCACCTGTGTGTCCACGTCAGACAGACGAGCGCATCCCAATAAGCTCCTCTCCATTCACACAACTTTAAGTAATTTCTACCTAGTTGCACGCTCCTTTCACTATTACCTTTAATAAAACAAGAATACAGGTTTTGGTGACATTAATAAAGGTGGATCAATTCTGCTTTTCATCTGGTTGCTAAGTGGGAGGTCATTAGGGGGAAAGAGACTGAGATGCAGCATCTGTGGCTATTGAAAGACAAAAACTCATTATGCCTTCCACCTCATAACCTTCTGTCTGGTTGTCATGGAAGCAACAAGGACGGGGAGCAAGGATGTAGTCGGGACTGTAAATGAGTATCTACCCCTCTCGTATTTTTAGCTTTTTTCCACTCCTGTCAATCCTTCTGTCCTTTCCTGTTGTTGGCTTCATATTCCTCTACTACATTTGGACAATTGCTTCATCTGTCTTAGTGTGCACCAATCGGGGCTGAGTACTTTTCATTTAAGGTGCTCAATATCTCTTTTCTCACTTTCGTTAGTCTCCTCTCTGCTCTGCTCTGCTTACACCCTGCCTCACTGTCAGTAATGAGTCCACAGCAGTAAGGGATCTCTGGGGTTTGGAGGTTTCCAGGATTCAAATAAATCCTACAGGTGCAGCTGCCACATGACAGAAGTGAATGTCAGCACAGTTTCTCTAAAATATTAGTGGAACCCATTGGCAGGTGGGAATTATTAACAAGCGCACTGTGCGAGATGGATGAGCCACTCTCCCTGTGCAACTTGCCTGAAATGTTGAGCCCGAAGACATCAGTGCATCAGCAGTGTGTTTTAGTGACCACATCTAATGTTGACTAGCAGAAGAGATGTTTTTCTTTCATCTCTCATTTTAGTCCAGGCTCTCTCATGATTAATTAATACCACACAGTGTAATTAGCACATCAGTCAGTCCTGAGTCATATCTGTAGTAAATCTAAAAAGTGTTGCTGAATTAATGGATATTGGCCATTGTTGTGATAATAACCCAGCAAGGTGACAAATAAAAGAAAGCAAAATTTCACAGAACAAGTCTCTTTAAAACAGCTATTGAAACTGTGTCAAATGAAACCACATATTATGCTTCTGATTTTACCGAGTGGGTTTTTGACAAAAGAACAGATCAGTGTTAAAATGTTTGTTGGATCTCTGTCATATTTGGAAGATACATGTGTGTGCATGTAATGTAACGTGTAATCCACAAAATAAAAGGACTGTTCATATTTGATTTCTTTCACCCCAGCATCGTGCGGCTTGTCTATGGTGTCCAGTCAGACTGGGAAAGTTTGCTGTCAGACAGGAAACGACCTTCCACTGTAATGACTAAGATGCCTTGTATCTCTGTTCAAATAGCCAACAGCTTTTACTCATCTCTGCTGCTGTGCTCTAAAAGCCACCCAGGTGACTGTCGCTGTGAGTCAGGCTGAATTTGGTTTATGTAATGTTGGTTAGGGACTCACTGCAGAAACAAGAAAACCCACTTAATACCCATAAAGCCAATGACCCACAGCAATCTTCTTCTGTTCTTTTATTTTCTCATCCTGATTTGTATATTTACTTCTCCTGTGCCCTTATCTCACATCCAGAACCGCTGTCTACTCGTTTCTCATTTTGAACTCCAATCTCTTTCTTCCTGCCACTGAGGGAAACAAAATACTGTTGCTATGGAAACTGCTCAGAGAGGCAGCTTATGAGACTTCCAGTGTGGAGACAGAAGCCTATATATGGCCATTTCCTGTCTGCGGACTGGGAGGTGGATTCAACCTTTTATGAACATTGTGTCTCTGTTTCCTGTCTGAAAAACTATGAGCCAGATGGAGTAACAGACAGAGAAAGAGACTGCAAAACAGGGGGCAGGAGGAAAGGTGTCCATACACCTTTCCTGGTCTGACTGATAATGATCATTAGATTTGGCCAAAAGCGTGTTGTTCTGATTAGACCATACAGCTTTCTCCCTGTTGTAAAATGCAACATGTACTAGCTTGACATCTCTCACACAACCAAAAGACAAACCTTTTGCATCGTGGCTGTAGTCATTGCTCTTCAAGGGCGATACTTAGAGACTGAATACGGATCAGCGCATAAATAACAATTCAACAGGATGTCCAAGATTGACCGTATACACAGAGTTTCATCTCAGAAGCAGATGTGTGGCAGCAGAAATAATGTTTTCTGGTGCTCAAAAGCAAGTCAGCCGTAGAATTCAGCATTAAAAACGTTCCACACATTTACATAATCACCTTAAGAGCAATGTTAGCCAGTGCCCCAGTTTGTGATTACTACATACATCCTAAAGCCCTCTTTCTCTCTGTCCCTGAAGCTGAGCCAAACCTCTCCTCCAGCAGCATTTCTTGTCACTTTCACTGTCATGCGATATCCAGCAAGAGCAGGATTTATTGGTGTTTGTTTGAGTGGAAAGAATCTAATAAGATTTGACAGAAATAAGGTACCTTGTTTATTCCCTGGTTCCTACTCTGTCTTTCATAAGAACACAAGGTACAGAAGGTAATATTTCTTGGCTCTTATTTTGGTGTCTGGAGACAAGAAACAATCTATTGGACTCTCATCTGAAGAGATCAACGCTGGTTTGGAGACTGTCTGTCTGGTCTGCCAGTTGGATGAAAGTAAATTTTCTAATCATGATCTTTATGAACTGCAATCTCGAAACATCACAGGAAAGTGATGAAATGCTTCAAGGAAAATTAAAAAATGGGAGGAAGACTTGGACTGCTCCATAAAGAGTTGGACAGGGGAGATGAATGCACCTCTGGCTCTGGGTTTGTGTTGTAATCTCTGTTCGGCTCTGCTGAATTTATTAGCAAGTTTCACAAAGGAGGGAACCAGAGATGGACATATAACGTATATGAAGATAATGATCATCATCATTATCATCTAGCATCGACTGAAAAGGATCTCCATTTGTTTTTATGCAATGAACATGATGAACAGCTGTTAATCAACACAAATGAGAAGCAGGAGAATTAAAAAAACTAAATGAATTTAATGACAACAAATGGAAATGAATATATTAAACAAAGAAAGAAAAAAAAACAGAAACAAATGAGCCAAGAAAAACTGGCAGCCATACATGAGAACATCAGAATAAGAAGATGATGGGATCAGATGATCAAATATAATTTGCCACAGCCTATTTTCATATTTACACCTCTTTCATGTGTGCAAAAAAGACCCCAATGTGCTCTGCAAAATTTGAAGCCACTGATTTTTAGATGCTTTAAAGATATGAAAACATGAGCTGGATTGGAATCATTTGAGAACAAAGGAATAAAATGTAAAAAAATGTTTAAGCTCTATAATTTCAGCAAATGCATGTTCCATCATCTCCCCCTTTTCCTCTTGTGCTGCAGCCAGTCTTTTTGGCAGTTGCATGGACTAAACTGAACAAGCTGTCTAATGACATCAGCACAACATAAAATCAGAAGATAACACATCCACATAACAAATACAATCTTTAGTAATAACACCGTCAACATGGAGGGGACAATAATTAACAAGTTCATAGTACACACTTTTTCCTGCAGTCTACTCTTTCTCTGTCACTCACACACATGATTTAATTTATGATGAATCACCTGATACAATTTATGGACGATAAGGATGCGAGATGGAGCATGCAATTCAATTAATGGACATGAATGACTCAATGGTGAGAGGAGGATGCGGATGACATACTGCTTACCAGGAACAATTGACACTCTCAGACACAAACAGTTACCTAACTGTATTACAACTGATACACTGGCATCATAGCCCAATCTGTTTGTCTCACCTTCAATCTGTTGGTCACTACTCTCTGTGTATTGTCTTTTTTCTTTATTTACATATCTGTTTTCTCCATTAGATGTGAAAAACACAAACAGGCAAGAGCAGCGGCACTTTCGACTCATTCAATTCATCTGTATGTGTAGGGTGTGTCTGCACTGACACGTGCGCCTGTAGGTTTATATCAAAACAGTATGTATATTAGAAGCTAGGGTGCTCTAAGTGATGCAAGGGAGGTGGATGACTTCATGAATGTAAACCGTCTTTTCATGCTTCTATTTGTAATTCAAAAAATGGGTCATGCTAGCATGCACTAAATATATTTAGTTGTCTATATATATATAGACAACAGCATGTGCAAATGTGCACAAATGGTGACTTCATGTAGAAAAGTGCCGTTTTTTCCTGAAGCATGCATGAATGTATGAGCGAGCCAGTGTGTGCAATTTCTATCAAGAATATGAAGAAGGTATGTCACACCGTGTTGAATGTTGGGACGGGGCTGCCAGGTTTTAAGGTACAGCATGACACAAACACTGCAGATGAACCAATTTTTGTCCTCTCTGTGCTCAAACTGAACCCTAAAGTGGATGTTTGGATGTAGCTGTATCCCATAGAGCTACTGTATGCAGCTCTATGGGATAGTATTTAGTTTTTAAAAATGAGCTTATAGATGTATGTAGGGTTAATATGTCTATGATCAATAATGAGCGTGATGCTCCAAACATGGTGCATTTACCCAAAACTTCAACATGGTGTAACATCAACTTCACACTCTCTATAACGACGCATGTATATTTCTGGGCTTGCAGCTATGCGTGTGTGAAAGTGAAGGTGCAATGTTATGCCTGCATATTGTACTCAGGGATACAGGCTGGGGTGGTCTGAGCTGTGAGAGCAACTTACTTCAGGCAGCTACGTGCCCCTAGGTGTTTAAAAGCAGGGTCCACAGAGGTGAACTGTTTAAATATAATATTCATAGTAGGTCATGGAGGCTCTGTGGCTGCTTGGGAAATGAATTTATAGTAACATTCAGTGCTTTATTAGCTGAAATGTCAACAAGCCCCAGATGTTCACATTTCATTTGAGATAATCATTTCTGGGTCATTGTTTGCTTTGAATGAATTATGCATAAGGGTGTTTGCCATTGTAAGCATAAAAATAATAGGATTTGAGAATACTCTACACTACATGCATATGTATGGACAGAGGTGGCAGAAAAAAAGGAAATATGCAAGCATCAGAACTTGGCGCTTACTTCTCAAAGAAGCTTAGAATTCAGCTACAAGGGAAATTATGGAATATAATCCCCTTTCCCTGTGAGTATACCTTTTCATATGAAGAAGTGAGAGGAGGATGGGTGGGGGGTAAGGGCGAATGGGTAGGAGATGAACTGAGAGAGAAATAAGAAACTGTGAAGGAGAGAAGGGACAGGTGGAGAATCACTGACAGGGCAGATAGGAAAAGTAAGAAGTGGAGAGAATTACATTGTAATATGGCTCAAGAGTGTGAAGTTACAAAGTGGAGAGTGGAGATAATAGGCTGTGAGGCTTCTTCCATTTTTTCCATCCAAGCTACTACAGGCTTAGTATGGAGTCTGAGAGAGTACAAAGCCTGGAATGATCTCTGGTTGAGACTTACACACTCATCTTGTGTTGTGTAAAACTAGAATTTAAATGCCGAGGTCCAAGCTTCACTATAAAGGTCATCAGTGAAAGCTGATGTCTAATGAGAAAAGTGCATAGAGGCAAAAAGACAGAGTAGGGTTGAATATGGAGAGGATGGTGCAACATTTTTCTTCCTTTTCCTCATTACATCTGGTTAGACACCCTTCACCTCTCTAACTTTTCAGAATCTCACTCTGAAACTGTGGAATTTAACCGAGGGGAAAGAACGGAGCAGCAGAAGCTGAGAAATTGTGACCATTACTTGCTCCACATCTATTCATTCAGAGAGAAGTCGAGAGAAAGAAAGACGAGGCTTACAGCAAACTTGCCAGCCTCTTTCTCTTTCACTGACATTTATGGTGACCCACTTCCATTATACAGATGACTGCGGAAGCTCCAGTGCACCATTTTTGGTTCTCAGTAGCTACAATCCAGATCTGACATGTTCCCGTTGCCCTGGCTGACCTTCACATCACATCAATATAACCTCATTACCCTTCCATTAATTCCTCCTGGCACATCAAAGGTAGCACAAGACTGAAGCTACTGAGCCGAAGAAATGAATCCTATGTTGATTTTAGTCCATACAGTCACTCATACACACAACCACACATTTAAAATTCACAATCGCTCAATTTTCTTTTTGAGCTCTTAAAAGGTATTTGCTCCAGGTATATTCTTGCCTTCTCTTTCCATAAAAAAGCTTTTGTGCACGCACCCCTACATGTTCACATGTACTGCTGTGCCTGTATGTAAAGCTGAGGTGGCGAGTGCTTGTTTAAAATAGCGGAGAAACTAAATCGGCAGCAGGCTTTAAGGGCTCCTGCAAATTAAGGAGTTGCTCTAAGAAAGCGCATTCTGATGAGGATTGAGGCCAATATTAAAAGCTTCCCATCATTACTATCAAGGACTGGATTAACAAATGCTTTACTCTTGAATACACAAACACAAAACACCCTGTACATGAATTCAGATGCTCTTAATGTGGAATACAAGGTTTTCCATTTGAGTTGCATGCTCCTACTCTCTGCACAGTAGTATTTTCTCTATAGAAGCTCCAATTTTTACAATGGACATAGTGTATTTGCACGTCAGATCCTCTTCTTCCCCTGTTAGCTACATATAACAGATTTAAAATCTGAGTTTAGATGTTTTAACAAGGGGTTTAAAGCACAGGCCAGTGACAAAGTACTTGACAAAAATTGTTACATTTACTGGCATAAAATGTGTTTCTAAAATGTTTACACAAATGGACAAGTACAAAATGACATCACTTGAAAAGAAAAAAGTAATTTTAGATTATCAGCTGGTGCTGATTGGATCTTTTCCGGGCACACTGCTCTGTGTCTAACAGAGAATGCAAATCATTTTTTTGCAGAACAAAAACAGGCTTGAACATTGGAGCAGGCTGCTCACAAAGCCAATCATCAGTCTCATCTTTAGACCAGATATTGCACAAATTACTGACTGACAGATCAGTATGGGTGACCCTAAGAGACTACATGACTGAATATCAGAATGAAATGAGGAATTGCCCTTGAAAAAAAACTATTAACACTGTGGGGGAAAGTTGGTAAATCAGAGGATCCTAATTCTCATAATCCCATGGCAGCACTGTGTGAGGTCAAAGGTCAACACCCTGCCTCCTTATGAGACACTAAAGATGTTGGGATGTCGCGGTTTCTTCATATTCTAGCAACTCTAAGATGTAGTCGGCCTATGCTCAGTCACGGTTTTGTCCTTTTCCTGAGAATACAGAAGGAATGTGTTATAGATTAAGTGTCACTTAATGTTAAGGGTGACCGTGTGTATGTGCCTGTATTTTATCTTATCTAATCTTATCTTACCCGGCGTCGGCCGAGGCTGCCCGGGCTGGTTGGGGAGGGGCTGGGAGACTTCCCCGAATGAGGAGTGGACAGCTGACTGGCCGGCGTCCCGTTCACTGGAGGGAGTAAACAGAAGAGAAAATGGAGCAAGGCGGATGAGAGGGGTGAGAGCAGCAGAGAAATACTGAAATAGATGAATGCATGTTTTCTAGAACAGTTATGTTTCTAGTGTGTGAGAGTGTCCAGCAGCAGCCCACACTTCCGCCCTCAACATCTATCCATTCACATGAATGAGGCGGAGGAGGAGGACGACAAGAGGTGGAATAGAAGAAGAACACTGGAGTCCACACTGCTCTTTTGCACATCATCCAAAATCAAGATCCTGTTACTCTAACTATCTCTGAAACCAGCCAGTTATTTCTCAGCCTTAAACATATGTGCATCTAATAATTACAGCATGTTTCAGCCTCCAAGTAGAGTGTGGCTCGACCACACCAGACTGTCCTCATTTATTTAATGCACTAGTGACCTCAGCTCGCTCTACTTTCCTAGCTGCAGCGCAGCATAAAAACCCAGTGGCATCACTTCATTAAACAAGAACATCAGATTAATCAACGCTGCACCCAAATACCGTGTGCGGTCAAGCAATAAGATTCAAAAATAACACCATCATTAACCCGCACACAGAACACAAGCCTGTTTTCCATCTTACTGAAAACATGGGTAACTGTCTCTTGGCAACAACACACAGCTTCACCCCAGCTCAGGGTTGCCCTATCTGAACTACAGGTCTGTGAAACCCTAGTAACAACAGAATACAAAAAAGGTAACTGAAAAAACTGCTTATTCTTCATAAAGATTCAACTGGATTTTGGAGATTGGGAGGTCTCCTTGTGCCTGCAGGAGGTCAACTGGGAGCTGAACAATTCGGCTGCTGTGGCTGAATTTATGGCTTGGGTTTTGAGAGGGATTTAAAGCAACTGGGACATTTCTAGAGTCTTTATTTTCTGTCATTTCCCATTATTTTTATTATGATCATATCATGCATTAGCCTATAAACATTTTATTTGCTGTCCAATAGCATTTTCAGAGCTTATGCTTGATGCAAGCAGAGATGTGAAGCCTGCAGGAACCAGGTGGTTCAACCTTCACTGTATTATCTCCCAACTTTCTGAATTATTCAAAACAAAGAAGATAAAAGCAACAACAGATTAAAATTTCAGCGGCTGCCAATGCATTACACGCGTATTTTACTTACCAGACGCTACGCGAAAATCTGAAAGCCTAAAAGAATCTGCTATTGTCTAAGCATCTTCATTGATGAAATTCAGCATCAACGTTACGCACACAGACAGACACTCCTCCCAGTTACACAACGATAAGCATCAACATTTAAAGATATCTCTCACTGAGTTTACACTACAAAATCACCACACATAAAGTCGGTGGTGGTCGAAATCACACCCCTGGATACCGCGAATCGGAAACAGCTCACATTTAGGCTACGGCATCCACATGTTGTGTGATCCGAGCAGGAACACATCAAGTTTACACTGTCGGGGAAAATTCCAAACGCCATGTAACGTAAAAGCCGAATACAATGTCGTTCGTCCTACCTTCCACTTCCAGCATGACCAAAAACACAGTGATAATCCAAAGCGGGGTAAAAAGAAGAAGAAGAACAGCACCTCCAAAGGCGCTCCGTCCGAGTGTGATAGTAAACTGTGGTGAATGGGAGAGAAGGAGCAGAGATGTACTACAAGGAGAGGCGGGGAGGCTGATTGCGCAAAGCCTGACGCGCACCGGGGAGGGAGAGGGAGAGAGAGAGAGAGAGAGAGAGAGAGAGAGAGAGAGGTGTAGGCCATAAGTAAATAAAAATGCATCTATAATTTTGATATTTTGGCAGTGGCTTTTTTACTCCCAAGAAATTTGCGCTTAAATTTGAAATGGGAGGAAAGGTTAGCGCAATACGGTGAATATACACCATGTAGAGAATGGATTGTGACGGCACTATTGATCGCTGTGCATACATCCCCAAGGAAATAAATACTACTATTTGTGAACTGAACTTTCACCCTAAGTAACAGCTAAAAGAGCAGAATGCTCTTGGGTTTTTCTTGTCCCTGCAATTACCTGTGAGGCTGAATGTCAAGGTGTAATAAAGGCTGAAAGCAGAAAGATCTTCAATAATCTGAAACAGCAGTAGTACCTGATTTAAAAAAAGATTAATCGACAAACATTTTAAGCGGCTGTATGAAGGTAGAGGCCATTAATCGTGGCGATTAGATTCCCAGCTGACGTCAAACTATACCCTACATGAGCCACGCCCTGAACTCCAGCTTGCTCCTGATGTGTTCCTATGGGATGTAAGTGGACAAAAGCAACTGCCAAATGAATGCAATGCAACACTGGTTTGTAGATGCATCTTGCAGAGCATTCACACTTCTATGATTAAATGGACTGTATTTTATATAGCGCATTTCCACAGTGTGTTACACTGGCCAAAGCGCTTTACAGAGATGATACACCATTCACCCATTCACACACCGATGACGACAGGCTGCCATGCACCGGCGCTAGTCAAGCCACCGGGAGCAATTCAGGGTTCAGTGTCTTGCTCAGGGACACCTGGGCCTGCGGGGAGACCGGGAGTCGAACCACCAACTTGCTGGTCAGAAAACGACTGCCCTACCTCATGAGCCACAGCCACCCATTAGGCAGCAATGACATGCTTCTCTGTACAGTATATCTATTTATATGTGTTCTGCAACCATATCACATCATCAACAAACTCTACAGTAAAAATGGAATGTATAATGACAAACATAGGGTTCTTAATATAAACATACAGTATAACAACATATGGAAGTTTGTGCACCTTCTGTGAGTTCTGGGAAATCTGCCACACAAAGCCAGTGAGTTTAACAAATGAGATGTTCTGGGACTTCTATAAAGGAAAAATGCAGTCAAATATAGCTAATTTATGATGCTGACAGAACATGAAATTGAAATTAATAGAATACCACTTCATAAACACAAAGTGTCTGGCAGCTTGTCATTGTCTTGCTTTTAGTGCAAATATCAACGCTGCCTTGGCCATGAATTTGTTTCTCTTGCAGCCTCTGTTATTTCTTACAGCTACTGTTCCCATCTGCTGCAGTTTCACAAAGTACATTTGTGCTGGTAGGATTTACAGAGCAACAGAGGTGGTTAGAGCTGCAGACATCATGCGATCACAGTTCAGAAAGTGTCACAGCAAGCAAATGATCCTCTGGAGAAACACTGGAATTACATGTGCTGGCTTCCTTGCTCACTTCACTATAACGGCTCTCCTGTCATACGGAGTCACTCGTGACAGAAAGAGGGAGATGAGTACCTGGAATATCAGAGTGATGCTTGCTGACACCATCTGCAGTTCCCTGTTAATTTTAGCTGACATGAGACATCAGAGGAGAGCAGAGCGACAGATGGCGGCACGATGTACGAGTGCAGTGTTTTCTCACGTTATTTCGGGTCTGTGTGTCTAGACACTCATCCAGGGTTGTGAGATCATCAAAGAATGAAGCTCGAGTGATGAAAGTGTCAAGCTGACATTCAGGACCCACCCACAACACACACGCACACACCCAAGCACATCAGACCCTCTGTAGTGTGAGTGTGGATGCAAGGCAACATTTCCCATTGAGTTGCAAGGTAACTAAACTGTCCTGAATATTTTAAATTGGTTGTAGTTCACAAGTGCATGGAGAAATTGTCACCATTTCATTGACTTTGATGCTGTTCAAAACTATGATTTGTTTGTTGCATAATGATAATAAAGACCTATGATTCACTGAGACCCAAAGAATGATTCACCTACCAGACATACAATGAGTCTTGATGCTTTGATAATTTTCAATAAGGAGAAGAAAAAACACCTCTGTGCCGGGAAGCAGACCGATTTTTGGTAACTTCATTCTTTCTGAATGGATTCAGTACATTTCTCAGAAGGATCATAGTCTTGAAACAAACAAGACGAGACCATTTGTTTGCCTAGTTTGATAAAGCAGGAAAACTAAGTACAAAGTTTCCTCCATCCACCCATTATC